AAAAATTTCTGCAAGTAATCACATCTAAGAATAATAAGTCATTGGTAGGCGACGACATCAAAAACCTATCACAAGACATTATTTTGCAATTCCTACTAATCCTGGTGAACAATTTCATTGTTTCACTACCCTAGCTGCCTGGCTGATTTCACAGGCAAACTGTAAAATTGACCAACCGCAAGAATACGACGATCCGAATGCAACAATATCAACCATTTTAGATGCTGTCAGAACTTTAGGATATGTTGTAGAGTTCCCACCTTTAAAACTGAAAAGTGGATGTGGTGAATATTGCATTAATGTTCTTAACATGTTGGCTGACGCAAGCCTGCAGGTTCAAAACATTAAACTCCTACCACCTGAATATCCAGAAGATGAAGTAGAAGAGTCTGGTGTTCAAGACGGTGAATCATCGCAAAGTGATGAAGAAACAGAAGAGTGGGTCGGATCTTCAATCGGTAGTCGATTCAAATATAGTCTGTCAGACTGTGACAGGCTAGGGAATTGTGAGGAACTAAGTGATGATGACGATGATGAAGGGGTGATAGACTTAAAAGGTAAATTACTGTTTCTTCACTTTGAAATTAAAAGTTTTTCTTTAGTAATCACCAAACTAAAACTGTGTAGTCGGAAATTTAGCAAAACAATATTGTAGGAACTATTACCGCATTTCATGTAATCTGGGTTTCATAATGTCGAGAACTTTCCTAACTTTCATTTTTCCTAAACAAAAGCATGCACTGACTAAGCCACATTTTTTTATAAATCGTATATCCATCCGTCATTAACATTTCAGTGATAATATACGAAATCCAAATCAATAAAATAAGAAATAAACTATTCAGGCCACATGATTTTTGATTTATAAACATTTCTATGCAGACGTTTCTCAAAGATTTATCTTGACGATCTTAGGATAAAATTAATCGACTTGTGACTGAAATTATAATCGTGTTGGGGTATAATTATGTACAAGTTAATTTGTCAGGGAAAACGTAAAAACTGTAATCATATTTTTTTAAAACCTGTGAACTATGTAGTAAAGCATTTCCTGACAGATACGTCACTGGACTCCAAACAAAGTTCACGTACTGAGATCACGATAAAGACTGGGTAAATCAGATTCGGTTATGTAACAACTCATCAGTTGATTGTATATGTTATCTCTAAAAGACTATTCATTATTAATTATAGGAATTAATCTAAAACCTAACCAAAGTCATAAAACAGATTTGACTGAAAAACAGACAGAACTTAAACCTGCAGGCAAAATAGATGAGAAAAGACCGAATAATCGTGCAGTCTTAGAATGCTCTACAGACCCAGCAGATTGGAAACTGGAAGTTGAACGAATATTACCACAACTACGTGTCAATGTTCGCAGTGATGTCAAAGACTGGAGAACTCATCTGGATCAAATGAAGCAGCTGATAATGGAAATCGAAACTACCTTTCAGGATGCTAAATCCCAATTAATCAGATTACACGATGACCTGAATTCAGATGTCGACAAAATAAATAACCGAGAGAAGTATATGAATAATCAAGTGGAGCCTCTGTTGGCGCAATATAGAACTGTACAGGTAGGCTCCTAAGATCTTTTCATATTGCCTTGAGTTGTTCAACCGGAACAGACCTCCTAGTCAGACAATCAGTTAATCTTTTAATCAGTCCTGGAAACTTGTCACCTACAGCGGCGGACTATGAAAATACGTACTGAATCCTGTAATTTACATTTCGGATAGATATTTTTCCGCTAACTGGTCACAAACTAATAGTAAATCAATGCAAACTTCGACGTATATATGCTGGAGTTTAGTGCATACGATTACAATAACTGTAATATAGCTAACGTAACTCAATACACATATACAGGTTCTTATATCGGTTTATTCATATCCAAAAACATACGTTAATTCGAATTAGAGAATCAGTAGTTGAAAGTAGGGTGACAAAAAGACTAAACCACCATTCCAATTATCTGAGTAGAAGTCTGGTTGATAAGCGAACAAACTGAGAGTAATTCTCATTAGGATTGCATAAATCTTAAAATTTCAAGAATATGAAGCACTTAGCAGTATTAGGAATATGTTGGATTAAAACAAAACTGAAGATACAAAAGTTTAGTCCCATTCTCAACCTACATTTCTCGTTGAGGTAATTTATTAAAATCATCCATCGTAGCGCATTACATAATTGAACCTTATAAGATAGTTTACACACTAACTTTCGTGACTTGAATGCATGAGAAAACCCTTTACGACCGATTTGCTGTAACTGTTACTGCTAAGATTCAGTAATTGCTTTGTCCATTGACTGAAGGTCGCTAAGACCTATCGCAACGTATTTCTTACGCTTTAAATATTGATACAATGGAAAACAAAGTCTTAACTTTGAAATACTCATAATCCCAACGTTTCTGTCAGTTATTATGCCGGAACTTCAGTGTGATAAATTATTTCGAAGAATGTGAGTATGAGGTGTACGCTAATCCAACTAACTATTAACTCAAATGTATAGTATACTGTAGAGGTCGATTCCTCTCAATTTGACTTCGAAATACATCCTGTTAACTGTGTATTTTAGCAGACCAGTTATCCTGATAGCACTATTAATTTACTCGAGAATATTCAAAAGCCAAAACACCAGTTGTTGTGTGTATTGTGATTAATTAGTAAAATCTACAAACACGAAAGCGGCAAGCACACTGGGAAGTAAGTGAAAAGTCGGAGCATGTCTACGTGTTTTGTGCTAATCAATATTTACGTAAAGTTATCGGTTATCTGTGTTTACAATCAACGAGGATAGACAAAGATTGAGGTGTAGACATGCTTTCAATCAGATCCAAACATAATTTTACAGTGAACTAATTGTCTAAATTACAGCATATAGGAATTAAAAAATTTAATGAGTTTACTACAATACGATACCAATTAGAAACGTCAAAATAGTGATGTCATCAGAAGCTCATGAAAATCATGACAAAAATTACTGAGTGTTCTAAAAAGGGAGATGTAAATACTGTTGGCTAATAATGAATACTTGGAATATGCATATAATTAATATTGTGAAAAGTACTATTCTAAAGATAACTTATTTCGTGAGTACTACAAACAAGTGTTTTATGTGTATACTCAAAGACAGTATTTCACAAACTATTAATACTGCTACATGTATTACCTTTTTGTACTTGTATTTTTATTATAGGATAACTTAAATGATATAAATGCCAAGTATCGAGAAGCAAGTGGCGGAATCACTACTCGAAGTCGTACTTTATCTGAAATCAGTGAAGAACTGGAACGTGTCAAAACAGAGATGGACGAAAAAGGCTTGAGTATGACAGACAGTTCGTCTGTAGTGCGTATTAAACAAGCTATTCAGCGTCTTAAGTCAGAGATTACTACGATGGACATCAGAACTGGTGTTTTGGAGCACATCCTACTTAGAACACATTTACGAGTTCGTGAAGATAGTCAGAAACCATTTACTAAGATGATGGAATCGTCAAATGGAAATGGGGCATTTGTCTTTTGATTAAATCTTATCTGTGGAATCATTTGTTTTTATATATTTCTGAAATCTGTTGAACAATTTTGCCTTTTTTGTCTCTTTCCCTTACCTAAGATATAAATGTAATATACAATACTTCATATACGACTGTAACATTATTTCTAGCAACACTTCATACATATCAAGCAGATTTGAAGCGTAGTGTATACGATATAACGAGTTAGCCGACGAAATTTGATATGTTCGCACAAATGTGACATATTTGAACTAGGCGAACATGAAGACAGTTGTCTAGTATTCGATTTCACACTACTTGTCGTTAGATGAAGTCTAACGCATCTTGCAAACAACTTAGATCCGTATAGTAATGAAGATTACTCAACTTGAACATAACACAACTAAGACATAAAACTAAGTTTCTTTAGTGCGAAATTAGCGCCCTTCATTAGAAGTTAGATAGGAAACCGTGAAGTTGCATTGCAAATGACATCATTTTTGGTAAGCATTGTTCGTCATCATCTCCAATATTCACTCTCGCCACTTTTAACTGATTTAGTGTTTCTAAAGAGTGTGTACACTAGCGAATCAGCTTGTTGATGCTAAGGAAGCTATTGAGAACCTCAAAGTGAGAACGATTGTTCCGATACTAATTTTTCTGATGAGTGCATTTTTAATATCTTTAAAACCACAGAAGAGCTTGCTAACAGTTGAATGCCTGAGATATGTGGCGCACTTTTGACTGATATTAAGTGAACCTGTCGACGAAAATATTTGGTGAACTGGCAAACTATCGAAACTTCCCCTAGAACAGGCACCATCACCCATTTACTCGCTTTAACTTTTCCTTCCTTTTTTGATTTAGACAGATGATTGCATTGAAACTCCCCCAGTTTATCTCTATGGTGTGACTTTTGCAGCACTGACAGGCTCACCACATATGTTCAGGAATTCAGAACATGATATATATATATATATATATATATATATATATATATATATATATATATATATATATATAGAGAGAGAGAGAGAGAGAGAGAGATTCATCTGGTTGACAATCTGTTTTGTAAAAATTAGTTAAATTAAAAGAAAAAAATTAATGCATGGCTCGTTTGATAATCCGAAATAAGAAAAACACTTCAATATGAACAAAATGAGACTTTAACCTTGAAGGTAAGAGAATGAATAGGGTTAACTATAATTACAGTGATATGACGAGAAAGTGCATTGGTGATTGAAAGAATAGTGCTAAAAATTTTATCTAGATACTATTTTTCACCTAAACATCACAGTTTTATGTAATCAAAACAAAAAGTTATTGTTCAAATTAGAAGAAATGTACGAAAAACAAAAACCTTAATTTACTTTCAAAATTCAACTTTCCTGATTGACATGATGACATAAGAAAAAATAAATATAAATAAAATCATTAGTACAAAACACATAGTGTACAAAGAAAATAAAACAAGACTGAAATATGAGTAATACTACGTTTCCAATGATGCAACAGTAGTAAAGATGGCAGTTTTTACCATTTTCACTGCTTCGCCTGCTTTATTGATATATAATCGATCTTTCATACTAAATAATGACTGATCGTTTAGTTTTAGCATATCACCTTCGTCATGTGGACAGTAGTGAAATGTAATACATTCCGGGAAACGACGATTTGACGTGATTTTCACTACCATAGATAAGGGAATTGATCGATAAACAACAGCATATTTCGGGAGATCTGTAGTTGGTTTTTCAATAGCCGAATATTCAGATGATTTTGGATTCTTTTTGTTAAAAACAGACTGTAAAGTAGAACTAAGAGAGTTAATGAGTTGGTTAGGAAGTCGAGGAGTTGGATGACGCAACAAAATTAAATGACGTTCTGCTAAAACTAGTAAACCACTATCGCCTAATTGTCCATTAGGCCTTAGAAATCGGGTACTAAATACACCTCTTACTTCTGGCCGTCTAGACCACCGGGTAGTATCAATTAAATCGCCAACTTCACAGCTGTCCATACCATCAATTCGAGGGGGGAAATCCCCATCCATGTCAGGTGCAACATGTGTAGATGATTTAACAAAACGTTTTAACCAAGTTGACTGTTCAGATAACGTCGCATTTTTTGCTTCTTTCTCTGTATGATTGGGACCGTTTGTAATAGTCTCAGCTTCATCATCACATAGATCATCTTCGTCATAGTCATCATCAATACTGAATACAGATGATGTATTTCTGTAAGCAACGGGTTTTTTTGTTTCTTTATTCTGAACAGGTTGGTATGTAGGGGTTGTATCAGTTTTGATTGTCGTTGGTGGCACCGAACTTACACTTGAAAGTTTCAAAAGTTTTGGTACTTGATCCAAACTACGGCCAGTATTAAAGATTGCATTTGAGAATTTAGAGAATAAACCAACACTCGAAGAATTAACTGGTTGTACTTTTGCTTTTTCATTTATTAAACATGATGACTCCATTTTACTATCAGAAGTTGATGAAGGTACAAAATTTTTTCCTCCAATACATCCTAAACATATTGTAGGTTCATGACCAATTAAACTCCTACCAACTTCATAAGTGCCTAAGACTTCATGTAAAGCTGTATAACCACCTTCAATCAAACTGACATATGGTGTGTTTTGCCGGAGAAACTCAGCTACAACCATATTAGCTAGTTGATCTTCGTCTTTTCTCCCAGTACTTAAAAATGTGATATGCTTTCCAACAGCATATGAACCAGCAGCAAGTGACCGTTCTTGAGTTGATAATAAAAACTGTTTAAAAAAAGTAAAAATATGCAGTGTGATAACAGTCAATGCTAGGGTGCTATCAATACAATCAATTTATGAAGAAAGAATATAGACTTATTTTTGATTTATTTAACACTTTAGGTAATCAGCATTACCATTTATTACAAACTAAAATAAAAATTCATGTTAATTCCAGGGAATGTTGTTTGCGATTTAATACGTTCTTTTTAAAAAAAGTAGAATTGCAGAATTTTCACGGTTTACTTTAAAAACAATTGGAGCTAGTCAACATGACTCCGAACAACTTAAGTTGGTTGTTAGTTGCATCCAATAACGTTCCTGATATTCAACCAACAAGTAGATTTAAATGTTTTATGAAAATAAGAAAGTTTGTTTGTGGTAAACTTCCATTTAGCTTTATACAGTGTTTTTGTAACTATCGAAAATGTTTTGATAGTTCAATTGAATTTACCCTAATCTCAATATTTCCATAATAACGTAGTGTAGACCGACATTTCAGTAATGGATTCAATACAGCTAAAATTCGAACGTTCTCTCTATCTTATAAGTGCTTTAAAATCCGACAACAAAACACAATTAACGAAGAATTTCACGAAATAATTTGTTAATTCAAATTGTCATATTTCTTACCGATATAAAAAGATCATTAAGAGTAATTATAAAAGAAAGCAATTAACTAGCAAATTATTGCAACTCAATAAGTACAGAATAGTAAAATATTCAAGAATCAAAAATAAATCGTAAATGTATTAACATGGTGATCTGCTTTGAACCATATCATTAAAGATTTTTGGACACTAGGTTCTTATCACTGTATAATTCACTGTGATAGCATACAATAACCTAGATAGCACACATGAACAGGCACTGATCTCGCACATAAACATTATATTTTCGTTTAATTATCAAGGTTTAGGCTACCTAACTTTAACTTCAAAGTTAAAATTATAAGTTAAAGTGTGAGACGGGTCGAAATGAGCAATATATTACACTCCAGCCAAAGCTCATGTAGACCCAGCTAGTTGTACTCATCCTGTCATTAGCCTTGAATGACTATCTCGAAACTGTGGAAGAACATGCCGCGTTCGACGAAGTATAAATGTCTCCTGATAGAGATTATTGAAGCCACGAACAACGTAGGTTTGCACATTGTACCATGTCTATCCGTGTTTCTAATGTGAATATATCAAGGACTAGAGGGATGAAGCTAACTTAACATCTCGAGTAAATGGTATAGAAAAGGGATCAAACCAGCTAACTATTCTGCTGTTACATTATGAGGAAAAGCAATAAAATATATCGGACATCACCACTACATTTAGTAGATGCACAACTATAGAAAACTGAGTGACGATTGAGGTAACATATATTATTTGCATTTTTACAGCAACGCTTGGTTGAAATACCATAAATTTCACCCACAGACTAAAGATTAAAATTAACTGTTATAACTGGTACAGTAGTCAAAAGACAAGTGAATACTGAAGACTATACGGTTAGTTGTAACAATAAAATACGTTTATTGGACAAAATGTCATGACACTCCGGAAAGTTCCATATTTAAATGGATATGGCCATCAAACATTTGGTAGTTTTTCTCTCCTAACACACAAAAAGTTAATATCGACTTCATTTTCATGGTACTGAAGGAACAGAATTATAAAACTAATTCTAAACACAATAAAAGACTTAGCTCAAGTTACATACAAGGACAAAATTACATGACTGAATTAAATGGCATAGAACTCTGCTCCATAACAGTGTTTTGGTCATATCTTGAAAGTTCTAAATATTTTCGCCTTATAGAACTGTAGCAACACAATCTCATAGAACCTACAGCCGTATAATTTAGAATTTTTTAAAGGAAATCATTTCCCTCCGTCTTTAAACGAAAAATTTTATGCCAAATACATTGCAAAAATACCAGCACCCAACATCTGATCTGTGTTCGAACGATAAATTTAAGAGCAAATAAAATTGAAGATTTAAGACTTGAGTAAACATGTTTAGGTAATATCTTATTATCCTCCCTTCTGGATAGGAGGATTAAAATTATAAGCATCTAAGAAGAACTCATAGAAATAAAAAGGCATTCTGGTTCAGTTATTTGTTTTATTCTATTCGAATTAGATTTAATGGAGAATTAGAAATTACTTTCTAAAATTATCATGGTAATTAAATCATTTAGTCCGATTAACTGGAAGTTTGAGGTACTAAAAATAATGAACAAAAAAACCTGAGCTGTTGTAATTCTTATTATCACAATGAAAAAGAAACAAATGTCGAAAATAAGTATATAAATAGGAAGAATGAATAAAGCCAGAACAGGATTTTCAAGATTTAAGATAAAAGCTAGATGCCGATTAGTCACTATGATCTATTTTCAGTTAACGCTTAACTTTTTTAAATACTTATTTCTAATAGATTAGCAGCCCAAACAACAAGCCATTCAAAATTAACCTTAGTACTAAGAATAGGAGGTGAAAATAGGATATAACGATAATTAAACTGTGATTGTTAAATGTAGTTAAATACTCATTTTTTTAATTCAACAGTAATCACACTTAGTAAAACTAACCTTAACGGCATTTTGAAATTTTAGGGGTTCAGACATAATCAAAGATGAGTCCAGGAAAAAAGCAGTTGGTAAGTGACCAGCATTATATTGCTCTGCAGGACGACAATCAACAAGAAGATAGCGAAGATCATTTGTCGAGTCAGATGGGTTATCTGGTAGTGTAATAGACGAATTATTAAGACCATAATCTTGTAGGCACATTGATTGGGCATCGAGGACTTCTTGGATAGTAATTGGCATGCATAAGGCATCGAATAAAACTGAACGTTCTGACTCAATTTGAGCGTTACCAAAAAGTATAGGAAGGTATCGAGATCGGAAAGAAATCGGCGTGTTGTTGATGAACACTTCGATAATATCAACTAAACTTGTCAAATCACCAACACACATCGGTTTAGGAAGATTAATTATTAAATTCCTAACCTTTTCTAAAAGCAAGAAAGGAAAGGAAATTAGCCAACAGTATAAAGTACCATCAACCCCTCATTCTATACTGATGATATCACTTAACATCAGCATGCAGTAGTGGAAAACATCTATAAAATTATATAGATGACACAAAGTCCAAATGTAAACCGACTTGCATTAAACACTATACTATTGCAGAAGTAAATATAATGATTTGGGAAACACAGAAATAGTTAGTTATGGTAAAATAACAGTTGAGATCTTCACTGCACTTCACAAGACTATACTGATAACACAACTGAAAAAGGTTGTTTCAGATAACCCTGTATGATTTTCTAATAGTTAGCACTATAAATATATACATACAAATTTGTGCACTAGTCGTCCATAGATGAGCTATCATGATTTAAATGGTGTGGAACTATTAAGTACGGGGGAAAATAGTTTCTACTCGCAGATGGATTTCCTATAACTTCTGCTAGACAACAGGAACCTGTGAACTTGACTAAATTGAAAGTGAAGAGGGTGTTTATAGATGATATTTAATAATGACTACTGTACACCGAAAACTAATTCAAGTTGGATGATTAAATACTGAACCAATAGTTGGATTATAATTTATTTATTTTAACACAGATATTGGTGCAAGGAGGCACCAAACACATATGCGCCACACAAATCTCATTTGATATGTGTGAGGGCTGTGATACCGCCCGAGTGCCCAAACCGAAGCAGGAGTTGGATTATAAAGTGTTTCCCAGCAGACAAGAATGCATTTACTTTGATCAAAGAGTCAAAAGAGTGAGCTACCAAAATAATCAAAGTCCCACAAAATCAATTCTCCGAATAAACTTTCAAATGAAGTCTGGTGTATATTAGAAATAAACTATTCTCGTTAACTTTATTTGGTTATATTACGATCAAAAAAGTCACAATAACAGCTAATTAGTAGATAATAAATCCAACTTAGCATTCATACTTAAAACAGATCTAAGAGATTGAGTTTTATTTGTTATTTGAGAAATGAATCAAATAGAAAAACCGCAATAGATACGTGATCTTTAAATTGACAACTCACTAAGAGAAAGTCCGGAGCCTGAAAAATTAAGTCAAACTTTAATTTGACATGAGGTTGGACGATTTTATGCTAATTATAAATAAACAATTCATTTATATTTGAAGGAAAAATAGAGAATATTCAAAATTCATACTTACCGAAAGAAGTCTGATCATTGGTATACGAAAGTAAATTATTTGTATTTGAATCATTTTCATTATCTTCAGTTTTATCGAACTGTTGGTTAAGAAGAACGGACTTGGCATTAACAATAAGTAGTAAACCAATATAGAAGCCAAGCAAAGGATCCGACTTCAAGAAATATAAATCCCATAGGGATGGTATAACATCTTCTGATATAAAATCAGCGTAAAGACTTGACATCCAAGGTATGAAATAACTTTCAGGACTAACTTTTAATGAATCCAAAAAGCTGCACAACTTTGGTTCATGATATTGCAACAACAAACGGAAAACTATGCTTACACATTGATCAATATTTACTCCCGTAGCAACGAAACGATGGTAGAATGAAACAAAACTCGCATACAGTTCCGACCGATTGGTCGGTTTCAGGACAATAAAAAGTACTTTAAGTATTGATACCCAACCGTTGATTGAACTATATTTCAAACAATAAGTCTGAGCGAAATGTGTTAAAACAGATTCCAAATCACTAGATATCTTTGCAGCTGATGGGAGGAACATACTGAGGGATGACGCTTCTAAATCTGAATCATCATTATCACTGTTTACTGATAGATTAGAGATATTTTTCGACTGTTGAAGACTATGCTCTTTGGTCAGACGATTAAATAACTCCTTAGACGCCAACTCACAATCTTCGTGAAGTTGTGACTGATTTTCTAATTCGAAAACATCGTTAAATGTAGCCATTGCTTGCGACTGAGTGTCCAACCTCAGACATATGCGCCAAACGTCAGGGCGTAGATTTTCAGGGACAGGACGCATGGCACAAATATCCCGAATTCGAAAAATGTCAGCATCCTCTAAAGAGGAAAAAAGGCAGTGATAAAACCAGAATAAACAAAACAGAAGTCATGAAAAAGAGTAGTTGTTCTTGCTATGGTAATATATTCTTAAGGATATCAAGTTTTTTTAATTTACTACATCTGTACCCTTACTTACCGAACAAAAACATTATTTTGAACACTTAACAGAACTTCTACTTCTGGATCAACAAAAGTAGTAGCCCCCAAATGCCCTGGAATGACCGAGAGTGCGGGTGGCCCGCCCTCCCTCTCCAAATACTCTCACACGGCCACGCGTATACAGCATCGGCCAGAGGAGTCCTACTCACTGCCTTCTAGTGGCGGGTGTTGTTTACGAAAATGAAAGGACGAAAAGTGAATGTCCGGCGCTTTAACCGGACTCTAAACCAATGGTGCACATAGGCTCCAGTATCCTACGGGAACAAATGACGTATGAACCAATCTTTGGACACCTGCTATTTATTTATTTATTTTAACACATAGATATTGGTACAAAGAGGCACCAAATACATATGCGCCACACAAATCTCATTCTATATGTGTGAGGGCTGTGATACTGCCTGGGTGCGCAGACCGGAGGTGGTTATCTTAGAGGACCACTCCCTGAGCCTTCGACCTAAATATCTGATCCACAAGGCAGTGGAGCATCGTAAGGAGATGCAGTCCCATGGTAGCCGGCGACCAACAATTGGTTCATACGTCGTTTGTTCCCGTAGGATACTGGAGCCCATGTACACCATTGGTTTGGAATCAGGTTAAAGCGCCGGACATTCACTTTTCGTCCTCTCATTTTTATAAACAACACCTCCGCCACGAGAAGGCAGTGAGTGGGACTTCCCTGGCAGAGGCTATATACGCGTGGCTATGTGAGAGCATTTCGAGAAAGAGAGCGGACTCTCCCCACTCTCGGCCGTACCAGGGCATTCGGGGGCTACCACAGGACTGCATCTCCTCATGATGCTCCCACTGCCTTGCGGGTCAGACCTTTAGGTCAGAGGCTCGTGGTGTGCCCCCTAAGAAAACCACCTGCTTCGGTCTGGGCACCCAGGTTGTATCACAGCCCACACACAAATAAAATGAAAATGACGGTACTTACTGAAGATTCTATTCACGCTTTGATTAACAGTTAAACAGTTCACATTATTATTTACCAAGTCACCTATTCACTCACTGATTTCCACTTCGTGTATCCTTATTTTTCAGCAGCTCACCCATGGTGGAAACTGTTCTATCTAAACGATCTCGAGTCACTGACTGGTCGAAAATTGAATGCTAACACCAAATACGAATACTGAAACAGTTTCTCTGAAACCACGTGCACCATTCAAACTGGCTACCTTCAACGTTCGCACACTTATGCAGGTCGGACAACAGATAGGGCTGACTATGTCTTTGGAAAGTCTTAATATCGACGTCTTAATATCCAAGCCACTAGCAGCAAAAAGTCTGATGTGAGCAAAACAATCTGTGAGGATGACAGGATGCCAATCACCAACATTCATCGACGTCTTGGACGATGGGCAGAGTTCTTCGAAGGGCAGTTCAACTGTCCTGATACTCCAGGAACACCGATCAGACTGTCCCGCCCTCCATGGCCGGTGAAGTTTGATCCACCAAATGAGGCGGAAGTCCGAAAGGAACTAAAACTCTTGAAGCACTACAAATCACCGGGCTCAGATGACTTACTTCCGGCTCTTTTTAAAGATGGTGGTGACTTTCAAGCTAAGGAACTGACAACGTTGTTTACAGAGATCTGGGAGCTAGAGAGTGTACCAACGTCATGAGTCAATAGTTATCCTTATCTTTAAAAAAGGTTCACGTCGTTCGTGTAACAACTATCGGGGGATAAGTCTACTTCCGACTGCGTCATACTTCGTAGGTTGTTCGAAACCCGAGAAAGATTGACTCGCGAGGAGCAGGCTGGTTTTCGTTCTGGTCGAGGATGTATTGATCATATATTCACCCTTCACCAAATGTTAGAACACCGTCATACTTATCATAGGCCAACAGGGCTGTTTTCGATTCGTTGGACAGGACTGTTCTCTGGGATTGTCTATTGAAGAAGGATGTGCCTGAGAAGTTTTCTAACATTAAAGGCCCTATATACAAACACCTCAGGCAGAGTGAGGACATACAACCACCTTTCTCCATTGTTCCATTCAAGCAGTGGGGTTAGGCAGGTTTGCCCAATCTCAATATTCCTCTTCAACTTTGCCACCGACGACATTCTGGAAACAGCTCTGATGGATGTAAGTAATGGCGGTGTGGATCTGTTGTCCGGAGAAAGACTTCTCGACCTTGAGTATGCGGATGATATTGTCTTACTGTGCGATAATGCCTAAGCCATGCAATCCGCACTTAATCAGTTGGCAATCAGTGTCCGTAGGTATGGTATGAGCTTTGCACCTTCTAAGTGCAAAGTACTTCTACAAGACTGGCAGGATTCTAATCCTGTACTCACTCTGGATGGTGAGCAGATAGAAGTAGTCGAGAAGTTCGTGTATCTGGGTAGCTGCATAAGTGCTGGTGGGGGTGTGAGTGATGAGATCAATGCACGTATAGTGAGAGCCAGAGCGGTTTATGCCAATCTGGGCCATATTTGGTGCCTTCGTGATGTTAGTCTGGTTGTAAAAGGTCGGATCTACAACGTGTCGGTGAGAGCAGTTTTGCTCTATGCTTGTGAAACCTGGCCTCTCCGAGTTGAGGACGTTAGACGACTCTCTGTGTTCGATCATCGTTGTCTCCGAAGGATTGCTGACATCCAGTGGCAACACCATGTTAGTAATGCAGAGGTTCGGCATCGTGTGTTTGGGCACAGAGACGATAATCCAATTGGTATCACCATCTTGAAACACCGACTTCGGTGGCTTGAACATGTTCTACGGATGTCGTCCCAGAGAATTCCACATCGTGCATTATTTGCCGACTCTGGGACTGGTTCGAAAAAGCGGAGAGGTGGTCAGTATATGACACGGTGTCGTGGGATGAAAGAAAGCTGCAAAGGACATGCTTCTGTTGGTCCTTCAGGACTCCCTGGCTGAGGTCCGAGAGATGGTGCGACACAGTGATTAGAGACGTTATCAGATATGGCTCAGAATATAAGCCAGTGGCGATCCTGCTGTAACCTTCTTTTACTTTCTTCATAAAAATGGTGGTTGTGTCTTTCTTAACTGAAAGATTTCTTCTGATTGTACCTTTCCGTTCCCCCATTTTTACCGTTCTTATTATTACACCACCTTATATCAATCTCTTCGTCATTATTCTCTCTTTTTTTCCTTCCCCTTAAATTCTCATTGTTTTGTATGGCGCATATATATTTGGCGCATTCTTGTACTAATATTTATGTGTTCAAATAAATAATAATTAAGAAGCTCACAGCATTATGTAAAAACGATTTTTCTACGGTATTAATTGGAGAACTTCAACCGTCTGCGAATCTAATAAGGACAAAATATGTTAGACAATTATATCCTGTGCCTCCTGATACTAACGTTTAACATCCCACTTGCTGTCAAGCTGGAAAATCTAACCTTTACCCCCAAATGCCCTGGTACGGCCGAGAGTGGGGAGAGTCCGCTCTCTTTCTCGAAATTCTCTCACACGGCCACGCGTATGTAGCCTCTGCCAGGGAAGTCCCACTCACTGCCTTCTCGTGGCGGGGGTGTTGTTCACGAAAATGAGAGGACGAAAAGTGAATGTCCGGCGCTTTAACCTGATTCCAAACCAATGGTGCACATGGGCTCCAGTATCCTACGGGAACAAATGGCGTATGAACCAATTGTTGGTCACCGGCTACCATGGGACTGCATCTCCGTACGATGCTCCACTGCCTTGTGGATCAGACCCTCAGGTCGAAGGCTTAGTATCACAGCCCTCACACATATTGAATGAGATTTGTGGGGCGCATATGCATTTGGTGCCTCTTTGTATCAATATCTATGTGTTGAAATAAATAAATAATCTTGAAAATAACCCACTCTCAATATGAACAATGTACCCGAGGATTCAGACAAGAAAATTAACTGATACCGAGTGAAACTGACTTTATCGAAGAAAACCGGAAGTTTTACTGTAGCAGAATCTAATGAGCGAAACTGTGAGTGGACACGTGCTGATAATTTCTATTTTCAACTGATCTGAATGAAAAATTAATATGGATGTATTAAGAAGTACGTTGTTTTTTTTCACTCTCACGGAAAATCTAGCACCTAACAAAGTGATTTACCAATCCTACCCTTAACTAGGTCCCCAGAATTTGTCGAAACGATGAGGAATGAATACAGATGTACTGATCATAAATACATAGATATATGATGGCACTTTAATTTAGACTTCTTTTACTTACGGCATTAGCAATAGTTGAATAGTAAGTTTGGCCTGTAACGAAAGTCACTCGATGTCCTATGTCATTTTAGCACTTCAGTAGCTAAGATGTATTTAAAATGACCAGCTGAGTATATGATCCGTACCTTCAACAACATTCAATCCAGATGTTTTAAAATAGAGTCAGTCAGCTACAACGTAGGATCAGGTACATACACGCATTGGTCCAAGTTCCCATACATCATTAGCACAACACCAAATTCATAGTAGTTACTTTAAATGGTAATAATATAAGGATATGATACAATGAGAGAGAAGTGGTTTATAGGAAAAAAAGTGTAAATTAATTTTAATCTCACAGTTTAACGGAAGACAAAGAATGTATACACCTACGCCATTGTGATCGACTCTGAACCGTGTCACCCAGAGTATCCAACTATTGCTTAGGATAGTCGCAAAGTCCCCGACAAAGTAGTCTGCATCTACCATCATGGCTAAGACGAGAAGTTAGTGACTTCAATGACTAATGCCACGTTTTTGTTTGGCAACCATCTCCAACAGTAGTCAGCATTGCGCACCGTGGTAGTCGGTGGTTGGACATGTGCAATACGTGACCCAACCATCTCAGTCGATGTAGATTCACAACCTCATCAACTGATTTACCACCATTACCTAATACCCTGAATCTAACCTCGCCATTACTTACCCGGTGATCCTAGAAGATGCGAGCAATAATTTTAAGACATATGTGACCAAATACTAGTGACTTACGAGTATCCTCTACCCTTAAAAACTACGTTTTGCAGCCGCGAAGGAAAACAGAACGAACTGCTGAGCAGTAGACTCGTCCCGTGGTTGACAAACGAATATCTAGTCTTCGTCATAAGTGACGTAAGTTGACAAAAGACAAACGAGCTTTCTGAACCCATTAGGGCTGATCACACTATCAACACAAGTGAAGTTGTTGACGCGTTCGACTAGTTCACTCCCTATCCTTAGTTCAAGTGTTGGCGCAGGCCAGTCCTGAAGCAAAAATTTGCATTTAAAGGGGGAGAAACGCATCCTAAACATCCTGGCATTGTTGCTCAGTGCTACTGAAAGACTGCATTTTGTAAGTTTTCACCAAACAGGACTATGTCATCTGCGTATTCTAAGTCAATAAGCGAACCTCCTAGAAGTAGTCAGTCAGTAACAACGTAGAACTTAGTACGTACGTACATCAGTTCGAGTTGCCATACCACATTAGCACAGAGATGCAGTGGTCGATTCAAATCCCGTAGTGGTAGAGGTAGCAAGAGTATAAGCAGTAATCGGAAAGATTAGGGTTTGGAGATGTTATTTAACGAGTATAATCCAGTGAAATAAATTTGGAAAGAGGAAAAAAAGGGGCATGAAGAATTCAGATAATTAGAATTTGGGAGAACATAGAGAGTGGATGCACCTGCGCCATTGCAATCGATTTTGTGCCATGTCATTCAGGGTCTCTAACCATCGGTTGCTATCATCTCGCGGTCCCCAACCAGGTAGTTTACACCTACCAACATGACTCAGTCCACTTGTCAGTGACTTCATGGATTTGTGCCATGTTTTGGTCTGGCCGCCCCTAGCTTTCTTCCAACCTACTCCTATACCACTGAATATAGCACGTCGAGGTAGTCGGTGGTTGGGCATACGTAACACGTGTCCCAGCCATCTCAACTGATGAAGTTTCACTACTTCATCAATTGATTTGCCATCTTTACCTAGTACCCGTTTCCTAGAAGTAGGTCGATTCCCGAAAATCTAGACGACGAGAACTTTATTTCCAGCAGTAGCTCTATGATGAAATTGATGATTATTTATTATTATTTATTTGAACACATAATTATTGGCACAAAGGAGCACCAAATACATATGCACACACAATTCACTTGATTTGTGTGTGGGCTATGATACAGCTCGGGTGTCGAAACCGAAACAGGTGATTTTCTTAGGGGGTCACATCCGGATGCTTTGACCTAAAGGTCTGATCCACGATGCAGTGGAGCAACGTCAGGAAATGCAGTCATATGGTAGCCGGTGACCAAAAATTGGTTCATTTGTTCCCTTAGGATCCTGGAGCCCAGGTGCACCATTAGTTTGGGATCAGGGTTTTCCAACTCCACAAGGATATAAGTAGGATATCTGAAGCTGTGATGTTTGAAATTATACAATTCTGGGACAAGTAGTCCTCTGTAAAGTAATTGTTAAAAACGACATCTCCAGGTAACCTGTTGTGTATTTGAAATATATTGACATTAAAGCATCATATGTAATCTACTACCACTTATTTTTGTGATCCTTGGTTTGATCATGTCAAAACGCTCAACAGTAGCAAAACTACAAACGCGTCTCAAAATGACACAGAAGTTAAACAGACCGACTATAGTTGATGTAGTTGATTATGAAACTATTCGTAGAGTATTCTTATCCCGTTAGTTTTATGGCAAATTGAGTTTGCTGTTGTGAAAATATTACAAAAATTTATTACTTCCATCATCACTATCAACATCATAGCAAATGGTTTTAAAAAACGCAAAATCTTAAGTACGTTATGAATGGTTAATTGTGCAAGTCACCAGTTGGTTCATAAGCGAAAAACCATTATGACGTCAATGTTTTCGTCATGAAATAGAGTAATGAAGCCTAACATAAACGGAAGATTGCTCAAAATCTAATCTTATGGAGATAGATTGCGACAAATGTGAGTGGTGCAGTGGATTATAAGCGACTCTATATTAGTTACACTATGCGATTAACAATTTGATCATTACATGTTTTTTACACTGAAAATGAAATGACTCTTACGTCTTTTTATAGCTAGCATGCACCTCACTGGTTTAATGTAGAAACGAAAGCCACAGGCCTGTGTTTTTAACGATATAAGCTCTATATTTCTCATACAGTTTTATCCTTGTTGAACAATTCCTTCCTATTATTTAAGTTTTTAAAAACCGGTGGAACGAAATAATACTCTAGGATGCGCTAGCGCTGAGCCCAGAGAGCTTACTGATACAAGAATCTAAGGCGTCATATTCTTTGTGAAATAACTGGAGCCCACAATGGATTCATAGTGACTAGACTAGCCTAAAATAAAACATAATTATATATATGATTGTTATACAAAGCTGACGTATTTTATTACTAAGATATCTCTCTTTAACTACCAGTCTCAAAATTTTCGAAAAAGCATTGACAAACAAATATTTCGGATTACCTAGCAGTGCGATCTCAAGGTTAACCTTCCAGGATTCATCCACTTCGGTCACATCGGACGAATCTGACATCGTAGATAAATTATTCTAGAGAGCGCTACCAAGGCAAAGTGTATATTCAGTGTCCAATAAATAGAACTGGCGTTTCAGATTGTGATTGCTGACCAATGTATTCACTGTACATATAAATATTTTATGTTACTTTTAAATCTATCATGATGATGTAATGAAACTTCACACTACTTACTGTGAATGCGAGTTTTTGTTAGTGTCTTGTCAAGGTTCTGAACTTACCAACATTAGAATTATTTCGTCATATTATTTAAAGTTTACACAATTCCAATTAAAGTTTTCAGAATTGTTATCTTGAATTCAAGAGCTAATCTTAAATTTTAAAATACGTTCACCTGAGTAGTGTCATTATTAAATTTCCTATGAATTTCTTCCATAAAGTCAACAATACAGGTCCATTACCTTAATACCAGTTTAGGGTGACCCATAATTGGTGTTTACTATGAGATGTGATTTCAGCGTAGGCCATATTACACCGTTCTCATCCAACTCGCATAAACCCATCTGTCAACCAAGTGATCTGTATGCATCCGCTCTGAGTAGCACTGATGTTTCTTCCATTAGCAAACGTAGATATATAAAATTAAAGTAAAAACAGGCCATCAAAACATCCGGATAAACTAGCACAATCTATTACGCCTTGTTTGTAATATTAAAGTCCTTCTAATTACAATATAATCAAACGGCCTTAGCATCAAAATGTTACTAGTGTGAACGATAGGTAAAAACGGTAGAATTATTATGCTAATTCGTAGTTCACAGGGCTATCCACTTCGTACTCTAGTTATCACGAGTGGACCAGTATTCAGCTCAGGTAATTAAGCACTTGATAGACGGCCAAATCATGGTAGAATCATATTTCATCAATATGGTGTTAGGCAGCCTGCTTGCTGCACTTCCTAGGACATTCATGTTTCATTTTCTCACCTTATATTCCCTTGCTCTCTCTGATTTTCATGTAGAGGGCACGTACAGGTTATGTGCGATGATTCGTAGAAAGAATGTAGGTAATTTCGACATAAAATAACGAGCTAGTAAAAGACGTATGTGAAATCTATAAACCATCTGTGACGACTGATTAATCAGTGGACGTCATTGATTGTAAAATAATGGAAGTCAAACACTGAGAGAGTTGGTAATGCGCCATTATAGTGAGGAATTCAAATTAATAAGTCAGTTTAACAAATCAGTCAAACAAACATTCCTATGAAAGTCGGTTATTGGAGGAAGTTCAAGTAACAACTTAAGTTGGGTGGGTAATAGTTATTATTATTATTATTATTATTATTATTATTATTATTGTTCACAAACATCTTATGGGTACATAAATGTTGTGAAGAAACCATTTCGGGTTTCTTCAGAAAATGCAATAATACACTATTTTCAATAATGTTAGCATTATACTTGCCATATTTTAAAAAATAAAATATTTTTAAAAAAAGTTAGAATAATAATAGAATATTAATAATAATAAATCGGGTCTGTGTAATTGAGAAGAATATTGAATTGAGTTTAAAGAAGGAAATGGAGAAAATAAGGGAATAGAAATAAAGGAGACGTGAAATAAGCAAACAGTCTAATAGGCGTGTTTATGAACAGAGAAGAAAAAAAACGACCATGTGTGTATCGTTAAATTAGTAACAAAAAATAATTTATCATTGTAGTACGATATGACGCTAGAATAAATGTTTGTGCAGTTATAGTTTAGAGTGATGCTATGAAAGTCACAATTAAGTGAAAAGGATAATAAAATATCACTCTGTATGAGTCATATATGCATAGTGAAGATGATGTTATCAGTAATCATGAGGCCGTTCATCAGTGTCCTGTTTATTTATATTTACACATCACATGTAGTGGTTTTTGGATGAGAATTTGTGGAGGTCGTAATATTTCAGCAGTTGGACTCACGGTTCGATCCAAGCTAGACTACCATTGAAAACCTGGAAGCAATGGATGGCCATTTCGTTTTAGCATGGGACTTCCCAGCAGTGCGCATCAAAAGTTTCCTTTACCTTTGAATATACTTGATTATATGTAGCCACCAAGTATAATCAAGTATATAAATCCAACACACCTTTCGTAAGATCGTTAAATCCAATCATGAAGGAATGGAGTGCGCTTAGATTATTGTAGTCTCTATCTATAACGGTCAACATCTCAGAAAAGCAGGTGGTTTTATAGGGATTTGTAACTGATACTGACCATGTCAAACTTATTGAGCACTAATAATTAAGGAAATACGGTCAAGCATCGCGAACATATCACAGTGTACTTCATATGATATTCATGTAATGACATATCAAATAGTTCACCATTTGACTGCTCCTGCATATGATTGAACGCATTGTTTTCCGATGCCAGTGCCTCGTGGTTTGATCTCTTGCTTTACGCCTTGATGGAATTGCATATGATCAACACATCAGTTGTGTGTATTTAAATCACCGACATCCAGAATTTCCACCACAGATTTCCTGACATTCTTCACAACAATCCCCGTGGCTGTATGTAACATCTACAGATTCCAAACTTCTCATATTCAAACAAAAAATCCTTCCTTTTAATAACTTTGATGAGGTCTCTTTCGTTACAGAATGTTTAGCGCTTCTATATTGCAGTAGACATGAGTCTACTCCCATCTCCAGTTCATCCAATGTTGAAGCAGTAGTGGGATTAATAAAAGTTTTCAACGTTCAAATGAAGTTCTCTACCTGACCACTAGTAGTAGGTTGTCAAGAACTTGTGAACAGATGTCTACATCCTATACCATTCAACCAGGTAGTGACTGTATCTATACCCATTAGTAACTAACACCATAGGGACTCCTCCCGACTAAAAACTTTCCTTATTACTGGGAAGGTAAAGTCACAATTCATTGAAGTTGAGCATAGTTATAAGTCGATTGAGAAACAAACAACGACAACAAGTGCATAGTATTTGTCACAAAATGGACTACAATAGTCTCTGTGAATTCTCTGCCATGGAGTCCACTTCGAAGTATGATTTCTAGAGTTAGGAAATCTTCCACATTTGTTTGTTGCTAGACAGATACATGTAATCATCTCAGGCCATCAACATGTTAGCCTTTCCAATGACATCAATTTCTCAACACCTAAATGTCCACTATGAACATATTCAAGGACAGATTTACGCAAAGAAGGAGGAATAACAACACGATCATTTAAACACAAAATATCATCAGAAATATTGGACGCCATCACTTGGAAGAAACTCTGGTAAACTTCGTAAGCATGTCTCTTGTTCCTCACCTTATTTAAGTGAGTTGGATGTCAAAATATTAAATTAAAAGTCGGCATGACAAGAAAAATTAGGAATGAAACGGGAATAGTAATGAAGAGAGCCCACTAGTGAACATGGTTCTGAAAAGATTTTTCAGATATGGTGCATTTGTCAATGGAGTTGGTTGCTTAATATCTGGTCTAAAACCGCTACTATCAACTAGGTATGCAAGACATTCAAAACCATATTCACAAAATGAACACTTATTTGGGTTCATCATAATATCATATAATATAAATTTATATTATGCAATATAAAAAAGAAGAAGACACTAGCTAAACTAGAAACCCGTGGACAAAACGGTGAGGAAAATCTCCGGTTAGTGGGTTTTCGAACAGTCAGGTCTTGGAAGCGAATGCTTCTCTGATGACATAAAAATTTGGAGATTCATGCACAGAATATGAGATAGATAGTATTACATGGTGATCTTAGCTCATTGGTGGCATGGATGGACAGGCGGTCACTAGAAGTAAGTCCTAGTAAGAGTCTGGTGATGCAACTAAATAACTGTGATGATTCGTACTACTACACAATATGTGGATTCGTACTACCCAAGGTAAGAAACCATAAAGATTTAGGAGTCATATTAGGAAGTGATCTCAAAATCACTAATCTATGTAAGGCTGCTGCTGCGAAAGGCTATAGGGCGTTACGGTCTATTCGTAGGTCTGAAGAATTATGGTTTATTATGATATTAGCACTGCTCTAATAATAGACCTAATCCTAATATCGTAGATTTGTCATGATATAACTGCCTACTCTATAAGATCATACGTGGAAGTCACATCATCGTCAACACCAATTCACCACATCGTAACAATCATCAATACATGATGAGGAACACATTAAGACTGGTGTAAAATCCAAACTACAGTTGGACTGATGGACAGCTGTCTGGATGAGTTAGATAAGCGCCCTCGCTTGTTTGAACCCAAAACAAAGTAATTGGGTAAGATGACGGTTCTATAATTTATCATAAATTTAAGTGTACATTATTACCTAAACAAATATAACCACTCAGCTATCCAACCAATAATTGGTCAATTAGTCAAATCAATCACAACAAATAAATGTTATTCTATCCTGTCTGCATAGACCACGTACAGATTCGTTCAAAAGGTAATAATTGGTCGCTCTATAACACAGAAAGTTTTCAATTCTGGAAGAGTGCCTCAATTCACAACCAAAATGCACAATTCCAGTCAACACAGTTAAGGCAATTCAAAGGAGCAACAAGACTGAGTATAAAGTAAAACAACATAAGTGCAGTTCGGGAAGAAACACGGGGAATTAGTGAAGGTATGGTAAAAACAAAAACTATATTAAAATACAAGTATTAACAATTTAAATGTAATCAAAAACTAACGATGTGCAATGAAAGGAATCAATAGGAACAAAGGGCAAGTATGCATATGGAGGGATTTTCACAAACACACAAAGCATTCAAAATGGATTTTACACCGGCTCCCAAAATCCCTCCACATCACACAAGCTACCTTCCTGTCTATGGTCATGGTTCATTATGTAGCATATAACACTATAGGAACCAATAGGACTTACAGCAGTACGCCTACTCAACCTAACTACATTAGTAACAACAAAGATTAATACGAAGTTTCGAGGAGACGTGCTTCACCTGTTCTCTGGTTATCAATAACAACAGTCAAGGTACAGACCTAATCACTCTTCCCCAAACTCCA